AATTCTGCTGAGTGTTAAACTCTTCTGAAAGCTCTTATTTTTGTAACACCCTTCACCAGGACCATATTACCATTTCAGAGGCCCCTGGGCACAGTGTACTTTAAGCCCTCTCTTCAAAGGGATATTTGGAGATGCCAGTTATTCAGGATTTACATCAGACCAAGACACTACACAGGGCGGTGCAACTTGCTTGCATATACTAAATACTTGCTGCTTCATCTCACTTTCACCAAGCCTGGACTGTAATTCAGATTGTTCCATAACACAGTCATACCTGTTCATTTTTCTTTCCTGTCTCTCTCCTCCTCTCGGGGCTACCGCTCACTCTTCCTCTCCTGTCTCACGCTGCTCTTTCAGTTCTTTGGCTTGTCAGCTCTCCAGTGCTGCCCTGTTCTCTGCCTKTCTGCCCCCTATACTTACGGTACTCCCAAGTGGTACTCAGAGCAAGACTTCTGCATGACTGTAGAGACAACCCTGTTTGTCTGTTAAGGAAATGTTTCATTTGACAGATTAGATCAGATATAACGTTACTGATCACTTTGGGAAAATTCCTTCAGGGAAATTCGAGTTCCAGCAGCATCACACAGGCAGTAAAGTGACAGCAAGTCTAACAATGAAAAGTAGATATTAATAAAATAATAAATACTAATAATACTATACAACAGTTACTATCTATCAAGGCAGTGCTGGTGTCTGCAGCTCCTTCCTATCCTCTGTCCTGTTCCCCCTCCTCCCCCTCAGTGAGGAGTTGTACAGTCTGACAGCATGAAGCAAAGGAGTTTTTCCATTTGTTAGTCCTGCCCTATTATTTGATGCACATGTACAACGGGCTCAACCCRATACAAGATGTTTGTCATAGCTAATCAACATTAGTTGATTAAAAAATGAGGAAACAAGGACCTTTAAGTCAGTGAGAGCTATCACGTTTACTGTTGAGCTGTGGCGATATTGTGTAGGTTTAGAGACACACATTCATGGTTGGTTAACACACACACACACACACACACACACACACACACAC